TCTGTTTCTGTAAAGATTGTTGTTGCTGTTGAGCCGGCTCTGACTCATAGCTACAGTGTATATGGTTTACAAGGAGCAGCTGGTAGGTTTGAACTTCTGATGATCTTGTAGTTTGCAATCCAGTGCTAATCCCACAGCACCACACCAGAAGTCCGTTCTGTAAAGATTTGTTGTGGTTAAGTGCTGTTGAGTCAGTTCTGACTCATAGCAAGCCTGAATAGGGTTCCCAGCCCTGGAAACCCTATGGGGAAGTTCTATTCTGTTCCGTAAGATTGCTGTGAATCAGAATTGACTTGACAGCAATGGTAATGTTTAATTGTACAAGTTCAATATTAGGAAATTCACTAATGTACCTTACCAAAATTTAAGATGAATTAAGGAAAAAACCCCATAGTCATCTCTCTATATACTAAATGAATGTGTTAACATTTGACTTTCATTTTTGACTTATTAAAAGAGGAACAGAACCATATTTCTTGAAAGCACATATTTATCTCAACCAAAAATCCAGTCATTTATAATAGAGTATCACTAGAAATATTCCCAATGAAGTCAGAAACCAAACAAATGACCAGAAAATAAGCAGCTATTCAACCAGAAAAATAAATTAGAAACATAGAAATTCAAAAGGGATTACAGATGATCAAATTGTAAACTTGAGAAAGCCAAGCGAGCCACTGAAAAACTACTATATATATAAAAACAATTCAATGTCTTATCTGGTAAGCCAGTTAAAATTAATATTGTTAATGTTTTTGAAAAATAAAATACAAAGATAATAGAAGAACTCTATAGCTGAAAAATTACAGAAAATATTTAGGTATAAATGTAATAAGATATGTACAAGATCTGTATGAAGAAGTCTGAAAATGCTCCTAATAATCAGAGAAGACTTTATAAATGTAAATGTACATCCTGTTCTTGGATAGGAAGATTCAGTCTCACAAAGATGTCAGGTTTCCCTAGCTCAATGTATAAATTATGAAAATGAGGGTAATGAGTAGAGGGCTAATGTTATCAAATATTAAAAATGTTGTTGTGTGCTATTGAGTCAATTCTGACTCATAGCAACCCTGTATAGGATTTCTGAGTTGTGGCTGGTGAGTTTGAACCATCAACCTTGCAGTTCAAACTGACCTTGAGGTTGAGTGCTGGAGATCACATGATAGAATTTTGCAAGACCAATGGATTATTCATTGAAAATGCTGTTTTTCAATAACGTAAATGGTGACTATACACCTGGAGTCACCAAATGGGATACACAGGAATCAAATTGAGTACGTATGTGGGAAGAGACAGTGGAGAAGTTAACTATCATGAGCCAAAACCAGGTCAGAGGCAGACTGTAGAACAGACTATCAATTGCTCATATTATAAGCTTAGACTGCAGCTGAAGAAAATTAAAACAAGTCCACAAGAGCCATAATATGACCTTGAGTATATCCCACCTGAATTTAGAGACCATCTCAAGAACAGATTTGGTGCATTCTATGTTAGTGACTGAAGACCAGAAGAGTTGTGGGATGATACCAAGAACTTCATACATGAGGAAAGCACAAAGACATTTAAAAGACAGGACAGAAAGAAAAGGCCAAACTGGATGTTCAAAGAGATTCTGAAATTTGCTCTTAGATGTAGAGTTAAAATGGCCAGAAATACAAAGGCTAAAGCTTTCAGTATGGAGTGTACCTCAATATAAAGAAAAAAATCCTCACAACTGGACCAATAAATAGTATCATGATAGGTGGAGAAAAGGTTGAAGTTACCAAA